ATACGGCAAGCAGCTTGTCGCAGGACATTCATTAAGCGAAACCAATGTTCATCAATGTTAATGGCACTTGCATTTATTGGCTGCGAAAACAGATACTGGCCATGGCCAAGGACATGGCTGGGTTTATTAGCATTTTATTTGCAGTCAGCAGCGCGTATACTTAATATGCAAATACCGAGCCTCGCATTACGCATACGCACAGTGGCCGCAACGCATTGCCTGACATTGGCCGCACGTGCGATTCTAATTATGATTATATCATGTTTAACTCGCACTCGCACACACACACACACACTCATATATTTATAAACGCATCAGATACGTCTGCCTTGTGGGCATTGTTAAACAATTTGTCTTTTTATTGTGGCACGGGATAAATGAACTCTCAGCACACTGCATTATGAACAACTGTTTTTATTTTTGGCCACTCTTATCGCTGACGTTAACGGTTAGCAGCTGATTGTGAATACACTCACTCCAACTGTGGGTGTTTATTCATGGCCATACAATTGTGCTCTTAAGCATTTGGCTCGAAAGCGAACTTTGGTTTATGGCTCGCATATGCATATATCACAATTTGCCCTCCGTATTTGCCTCTGTGTTGTCGGCAGAGTGTGTAATAAATTTGATTTATTGCGCATACGCCGTGTTGCGTTGCCCAGGCAAAAACTGAACTCCAAGTAGTTTTTACCAAGCACGGATCGTTTTTGTACCAGCCTGATTGAAGGAAACAAAAACTGGAGATATCAAAGAGGAGATGTGAAAAGAATATAAAATTGATGCAATTCTTGTTAATGCACGAGGATATTTCAACTTCTATTCCAGCTTAGCATTTGGATTATTAAATTTATTTTAAATGTCAGACAGCCTGATCAAGAATATATATATGTATATATACTTAATAAGCTGTGCATTGTCCGCTTCTCACAACAAATTCAACAAACTTTTTGAAACCCTTTCCGTTCCAGGGTATTAATTAGTGCAACACATGCGTTTGCTCTACAAAAACCCATTGTGGAATATTCAATTAAGCTCAGCAGACTGTAAATTTGCATTATGAAATAAACACATTTTGTGGCATTAAAAACAATTTAACCGCGACTCATACCTAGACAGTTGCCAGCGTAAACAAACTTTAACTAACTATTTTTCTAGTATCTTTTCAGGCATTGTGCAGCGTAAAAGAGAAATGAAAAGTTTTATTCGCTGACGCAATTTGTTAAGATATTTGTGATTGCAGCTGAGAGCTAACAGAGCTCGGAGCCCCAAAGAACAACGGATTATTTCAGTCAAGTTTTCTTTTATCTAAAGCAAAAAACTGACTTTAGATGACATTCAGACGCGTGTACCTTGAAAATCTTTTTCTGTGTTTGCCCTGTCAGCCCCCTCCGCAGTCTGTCTGTTTGTGTTTATTGCGCCTTGTTGTCGTCAAATCGTCGTCGTCTCCAGTTTATCAGCTTGCATAGCAATGAGGCGATATGAAAATGTGCGTGTGTGCGTGTGTGTGTAGGAATCGCAGCACTCTTGGCTAGAATGCAGTCACTTGTGTGTGCTGCGACTCAACCGCAAAGCTGCAAAGCTGCAAAGATTAGTCCACAATCACTTTAGCCCCGAGGACAATAATCACATTGAAAAAAGCTTACTTGATAAAGCTACAAATCAGAAAATAGAAATTAAAAATATCCGCAAGGCTTTTAAAAGCTTTAGATTTAAAAGTTCATAAGAAATTCAATTTAAAAATATTCTCAAAGCTTCTAAAAGCTTTAGGTTTATAGGAAACACCATTAACAAATATCTTCAAAGCTTTGGGGTTTATAGAGATATTGAATTAATAAATATATATGAAATTAAGTGAGGCGCTAGACTCGACTAAATCTAAGACAGCTCATTAAGCTTTGGATTTAAAAAGTATTTTTTTTTATAAAAAATGTGCTTTAAGCTACTCGTGATACTTAATTATATGCTTAAACTAGGCGCTAGTCTCTACTAAAATGTAGGCAAGAAATTAATTTAAGAAAAGTTTGAAAACTTTATATAAAATTTAGTAAACAGCACGAGAGTCATCTAGGAAAAACTGATTTAAAAAAGGACAAGCTTAAAGCTCGACGAAAGCTGAAGGCTTGGCTTACAATTTGTTTTTTTTTTTCTTCTTAATTTGTGTTCGGTGTCAGCTTCAGCCAGTGTCATTGTAGAAGGTTTTTTGCAGCAGGTGATTTCCTTTTTATTTTTAATATGCATTGATTAATACATTTATAAAAAGCAAAAAAAAAAAAGGAAGACTCACAATATTCAACATTGAGATCTCATCAATATTTTATAATACTATGTGGGCTGTTATTATTTATACCCATCTGGAGTTTATGCCAACGATATAAACGTGCAGATTTTGTGACAATGACGTGGGCTGGCCACACTTAAACACACACACACACAGATACACTTACACACGCACACGTAGCATGTGCAGAACATAAGCTGCAAATGTTTGCTTAACGTGGCTTGGCTTGACTATAAATATGTGAGTGCTTAGGTGAATTTGTAGGTGTGTGTGCGAGTGTGTGTGCGTGTGTGTGTGTTTGTCTTGCGGCTTTTACAGGCAGAATCGTATACTTCAGCTGCTGCTGCTGCTGCTGCTGCTTCTTCTAGTCTATTGCATTAAGTTGATTTCGCGCTTCAATGGACTTTGTTGCCCCCCACAAGTTTGACTTTGGCTTGGTCTGCTTCTTTATTTTTGCTATTTTTTTGGCTAAGACTCTCAGGACGCGCACAGGACTCTTGTCACTAAGCCACTTTTACACGCTCAATCAAATATTTGCGCCTTGCGAACAGGAAACTATGCACGTATGTCTTTTATATATAGAAATATGTCTATCTATATATATTGATAGAGAGAGAGAGAAATCAATGGCACGTTAATAAAACGGGCACTTTGATTAAATACGACTTTGATGCTCTATTGTCTGTCGCTTTGGTAGCATTTACAAAAGATTGCAACTGGGGAATTTAGAAGAGGACAAGTTCAGTTTTTGGAATTTATAATTAACTGCCGGCCAACGGTGCCTGTTGGCATGTTACTCCTTTTGTCGCCTTGAAGCCCCGCAAGCTGTGCCTTAATTGAAATCCAATTAAGTTGGCAAAACAAAAAATTGGAAAATTTTAAATCGAGTGCAATAATAACAACGCCAGCAGACACTGACGTGAAAAGTCAAAGTTGAAACTAATTTAGTTCTAAAGAAATTGTACGAATTGTTGCTTAAAGCAATTAAAATCCCAAACAAACATTGAAAGAGGCCTGAAAGAGCCAAGTACAAAAGGGTGGGTACTACAGCTAATGCGACAACCCGAAGCGAAAGTTTCTCTTTGTACTTGATTTAAGGCTATTGTATTGCCTGATTTGGTGGCTAGCAATAAGAAATTGTCCAACACAATGCATACAAAAAGGCACCCAAAGAACTTTCCTAAACAAGTACCCCGCTAATTTATGCAAATATCCTTCAAGGACCTTCCATACAGCCGTCTGCAAAGTTTGACAACAGTAAATCACATACAAGAGTCGTTTATTAGAACATGTTCTTGGCCCAGCTAGAAATTGGCTGTAAAAGCTTGTAGTTTGTTATATCCATAAATACTTTATTTACATTTGACGCCAAAAATTCAAAAGGCATTTCGCCCCTTTCGCATAAAACTCTTATTGAATTTAATGCTGAAATTCTCTTGCTAGTTTTTTTTTTTTTTTGTAATATTCCAAATATGTGTGCTTAATTTAAAGTGAGTGATTTGTTTTTGTTTGCATCCTGCTGTTATTTTATTAAAGTACCCTTAAGCTACTCAAGGCAATAGCAATAGCTGCATGCATTTTTAATAAAACATTTCCTGTCATATTTCATTTACCTTGAACAACACTCATGCGTTCATATTCAACAAGGAATAGAAGAACTCAAAGAATACTCATTCAATAATTTGAATCAATAATGCATTTTTCATTGCTTTGAGTATTTAGCTACTTCTCAGAAAATGCAAATGAATAGTTTATGTAAACGATAAACATGTGTAAGTAAAGGGATTATGTTATTAAATGCACAAATGCTTAAACGATTTAATATTTAACAAATATTTTTTGTGACATTTTTTAGTGACATTTTTTTTCCCAAAAAAATTGTGCACTCTAATGAAATTGAACTAAATCAAATGTATATGAGATTGACATGAAGGCATATTAATTAAAGTTTAGTTTATTTCAGCTTAAATCGAAAAGAGACCATTTTCAGCCTCATTTTCTCTTCAACTTTTTTGCAAAAGCAAGTTGCAGGATTTTTTTATGCCAAGGCTCATGTACTTGTTGATTATGCTAATTAATGCGGAAAATCTGATAATGGAGAGATTACGTGTAGTTTTTTAATTAAAGGCACTTTTAATTATAACACTTTTAATAAACTAGTTTTCACAATAGTTGATTAGTGCAACTGATAAAATCAACTCTAAACGAATTGATAATGAGTTTGCTTTTAAGAGAATTTTTCCGCGCTGACACGTAATGTCAGAATTAAGCCAGTTAGCAACTATTTTAGCTGCGCTTTATTAATGTTAATTACAGCTGCTTAACTTTAAGAACTTTATACACCAAAAGCCACAGCCACAATTTTCTGAGTTTGGGCAAACAAACTTCAAGTTTAATTTTTGTAAATTTACCTGGGACAACATTTATTTTCCTGTTCATCCCTGTGTGTGTGTGTGCGCCTAATTGTATGCTTTAATTTATGTTGAAAGTTTTACAAATTTCTCATTTTATGCGCCGCTGAGCGCCGCCGCGTGCAACACTTTCGCGTTATTAGAAAATTCCAGCAGGTGAGAGATTTATGCCACAGCCATTAGGCGCTGCCAATGGAACGCACACTCCTCTGTTTATAAGCGGTAGAGAACCCCAACCGATAGACAGACAGATAGATAGACAGACAGATAGATGGACAGACAGACCGAGTTAAAGAACTCTTGAGACTCACCTTTAAGAATCGCTAGGCATTTGTTGTGCATGGAACGCCGGAAGAGGCTGAAAAGGCAATTGTTTTTATTGTTTTTAGCATTTGTTTATAGTTGTTGTAATTGTTTTTATCGTTTATTTTGCGCATTTGCAATTAGGCCTTTTCGATTGCATAAACAAACTAACATGTTTTTACAACATTTGAATAGTTGCCTTATACGAAAAGAAAAAACCTCACACCAAATGCGATTTAACAACGCGCCGTTTTTTGAGCGTTTATTCGTTATTTTCATTGAATTTTCATTCTTTTTATTTTTAAGAATTTCATTTTCATTCAATTACTATTTATTTAGACTTGTTTTATGCCAGCTTTTATTTTATTTATTTATCTTTCTGAGAGTGTTTTTTTTTTTTTGTTCGGCATAAAAGAACTTTTTTGAAGAGCAGACAATTTAAAGTCCAAAAGTTGCCATTGGCAGTGACCCGGAAGAGATTTCGGTCCGAAATTATTTAGCTCGGGGTACTGAGCACTTGCAGTATATACAGGAAAAGAAAGCTCTACTAGCATTAATTTTCATTTATCAATAAGATATCCAGGAATATTGAACGGCCATTTGAAAGAGCATACGTGATGCTTATGTGATATTTAGATATTTCTTCGGAAGAGTATATCTTTTCCAATGGGATTAATTCAATGCAATCAAAATGGTCTGCTCAAGGCTGGCTTCACTGTACTTGGTATGGCTACATAATAATAAACATGTAGAAGTTTCATTTGCTTTTTTGAACTTAATTTTTTTGTTCGGTATTTGTTTGTTTTAGGATTTTAAAGATTTACGAGATTAGTTGACGTGCTTGCAAGATCTTTGCTTGGTTGTTCCGTGTGTTCTTAACCTTGTATTTATGGCTTTTGCAGAGCTAACGGTTAAACAGGCCATGTGACTGGCAAGCTATTTTTTTTTTTTTTTTTTGCTGTTGTTTAGGCTTTAAACAAAACACTCACTTAAATAGTTTATTTACGTTTGTTTTGTGATCATGAAAAAAACACATTTGTTTTTATGTTAGCCAACACTAAAATTTAACCGCAGTGTTAATTTGCCATAATTAAAGTGTTCTTTTTTAATTCTAATCACTGCTTGTGGTCATAAATTAAAATTTTCCAAATACACAATCAAAATAATTCCGCAATTTACTTATTTAAAAACGGTAAATAATAACAAAATACATTGCAATGCCCCCGTTGCCGACGCAACCTTTCCTATTGCTGCCTATCGCACTGCATTAATTTCTAAATAATCAAACCGTTACGTGAGCGAGCAAGAATATCAAATAAAGAGAGCGCGTGGGTGAACGAACAGAACGCCACAGATTTAGAGTGCGAGAGAATGAGATGGAATTGCAATGACAGATCAAACAAATTGAAAGGCACGCGCAAAGTTCATGGAGCGAAAGAGAGCAAGAGCGCCTGAGGGCAAAAACAAAACTGAGATCGCCGCCACACTGACAGATGCTGTTGCTGTCGCTGTCGCTGCCGCTGCGTAGCGGCGTAGAGGAGCAGGGTGGGCAGCGCGTCGCTGAGATAAAAAGACAAGGTAGCAATTTATAAATGTAAACCAAACAAATACACAAAAACAAAATGGTGTGTGCGTGTGTGTAGTTGCTACATAAATAAGCCATAAACCAAATATATATTGAATATTTTGCAATAACAAGCAACTGTATATATGCATACATATGCATATTATTAGCATATTTCAATTGTTGTCAAGTTCACGCAAATCACATGGCAGCAGCGCAGCGACGCCAAAATGCACCAGGAATTGTTTATGCCTCTTTCACTGCGAATCGTGTTAATCATTACGTCGAGTTTTTGCATGCTCTGCATAATAACTGGCATACTGCGTACTTTTGGTATAATTTTATATTTTTTACGCTGCATACACTTAAATTTAACACAAGTTACAAGCACTACACGAGTATTAAAACGACGTTGGCAATAAGTATTCAATTGATTTCAAATATAATATTATTTTCTGCGCAACGAGCGCTAATATAAACCGAACACGTTGGGGCCGCAAACACAAATAAGCACAACAAATGCGACGCTAATGTTCTGAGCGCCAACGTTTTGTCTTTGCGTGTTCTTCTTTCTCGCTTTTGCGTTGCGTTTGCTTTTGCGCTGCCGAACGAGCGCACAGCTGTTGATCGAAACTGGGGTAGCAGCCAGTGCTGCCACATCAATTCGGAATGCAAAAAAAAAAGAAGAAACGTTGCTTTTTGAAATGTACTCAACGAACATTTTTATTGCGTACACTTAATTGACAATTGTACTGCATAGCGTTTAATAATTCAATGTTTTTAATTTACCTAACACACGCTGTTTGCCGACCTTCGCATAGCACAACTTTCTGGCTACGTTTAATTACTGGCACAACTTTAGAACACGCACACGTTGTGATTTACTTTAAAACTAGACCACTGGAGGGAGCAACAATAAAGAGGCACGCTTGAGCAACGGTTTCGTCCTGAGCACGTCTGCACACTGTCACAGTCCGAACGCGACTGAGTTGAACAATTCGGAATACTGCCTTTTATATATACACACATATACACGCAAGCATAGCCGTCGGTTTTGAGAGGGGTTTAGGCAGCGGGCAGTGCGCAGGCGCAAAGCGGAATCGGTGTCAGCTGAATGCTGCAGGATGAGAGCGCGCCGTGCCGTGCAACAGCTTTCGCTTTCGCAACTCCGGGCTAAACTTCGCCATGGACAGCATTACCTCTCCGCCCACGCCCCCTTCCGCCTGCACGCTGCACGTGGCCCACGCAAATGTAGGTGGCACGGCAGCGCGCAAAAGGTCAGCACAAAGGCACGTGCCGCCATTGTGCCCTGACCTATCCAAGCACACAAATGTTGCGTCCCGACATTAGACACAATCTAAAGCTAAATATACACAGTGATAGCTACTAATGAGCAGCTGGTTGCAATATTTTGAGTTCGTATCCATTAACAATAGAATCATAAACGAAAAAGCGTACATGTAACAATCCAATCCAAGCCTTATTCAGAGTCAACTCAATTCATTGCGCAGTCGGCGCTCCCGCTTCCATTCCCGCACCTTCTCCCGCCGCATGTCGTTGCGTGTGCGTCGCTGTTGCGGCGGCGGCAAGGGATTCCGATTGCGATGCTTGGTGGCATTTGTGTCGAAGGCTCTGAAATGTGTGACACGCGCCGGGGACTGCTCAATGCCCAGGCCGGTGCGCTGTTTGCGCAACACGGTCTTCACCGGATAGAGGCGTCCGCTTTGGCTCGGTCCCAGGCCGTGTTCACGATCCCAGCCCTGTTTAACCATCAGCTGTAGGCCACGATTTCGTGCCGGGATGTTGAACTTTTGTAATCTGTGGGCGGGCAGCGATTTCATGTTGAACCGATGCACCGTGGAGGTCTGATGGGCGCGCCAATTGGACTCGCTGTAATCCCTTTGGCATACCTCACAATAGAAGGGTGCAACAGCTGTGTCGCTGGGCCCCTCTTCCAGCTGGGCTGCTGCTGCATTGAAGCTGCTTTCCCGCTGCAGCAGCTGCACAATTCCCGTGTGGCCTTTCCTGCTGGCCAGCCGCAGGGCCGTGTTGCCGCTTTTGTCTGCGATGTCCGCATCAGCGCCCAGCTGCAGCAGCCAAGCTACTGCATCCGCCGCGCCCTCGCAGGCAGCCATCATCAGCGCCGTCCAGCCATACGAATCGCAGGCATTTAGCTGCTGCTCCTCGGCAATGCACATCTGGGCCAGCTGCTCCACATTGTTGCTTGTGGCCAGGCGAAAGAATCTGTTTCTGTCGTAGGGCAGCGTTTGTGGCTGTTCTTTGGCTTGTCTGGACGTGTCACTATTTGTGGGTTTGCTGGTGGCTTTTGCTGTTGTCGGCGTATCCAGGATTTCCCTGTAGAACTGCTGCACTTCAGCGCCGCTGCCGCCAACGATTGTTTGTTTCGCCGCCTTTGTCTTGCCGCGCTCTTGCTCAGCAGCCCCTGCGCGCACAAAGCGTTTCAGTGGCACGTGCAATGTTGTCAGAGCTCGCCAATTGGGATGCAGCTCCTGGCCCGAGGAATCCATGCAAACGAATGTAAATAAACAATTTTACAGCAGTGTTGCCAAGTGCTGTACAGCTAAATTTGCTGTTTTCTTTTGCAACTGTGTGTGAACACACTTTTGTTTACGTTTTGCAAGCGCCTATCGATATAGCAGATATATCGATATATCAGTGGAAGGTACATATTCGATAGGACGCACCCGAATAAATAATCGGCGATCTCCACTTATCAAACGCCTATCGCTATTTCTCAGCCTAACGCCAGCCAAGCGCGGAAATGTCAATTTCACAAATTCGTTTAAATAGCGAACAATAAAACGGGCTGCATATTTGCATGAAATCCGATCAAACGGACAATTAAATGTTACGAATGGCAATCAATTAAGCACTGTTGTGTCAGCAGCAAAGGAAGAGAAGAGCATTCGAAAAGTGCGCAGTAAAAATCAATAACTGTAAGTGGCACAGAGAACACGCACACACATGTAAAACGCGCAGCCTGTGAGCAACAAGCACCCCCACACACACGCACACACACACACAGGCGCACACAATGTCCGACGAAGAAGAAGAATCCTTGTCCGAGGGCTTTTCCGCCAGCGAAGAGGATGAATGGAAACCGGGCAAAGATGCACGCGGCGGCGAATCCTCCGATGACGATGACAGCGAATTTGAGGAGACACTCGGCGGCGCAGCGGCTTCAGCCAGTGCCAGTGGCCGCTCCTCGGCGTGCGCAGCCAAAAAGAGGCAAGCAATCAATCACTTTTAATCCAAAATGAAGCAATATAATCTAACATCCATACCGCAGGGAACAAAAGCCGCCCAGCGGCATTAAGGGCGCCTCTGTGAAGAAACGCAAACCGAGCGGCCAATCGCTGCGCTCCAAGCTCTACAACAAATATCGGCCGCCGCCCAAAACATTTCCCACATCGTCCACACAGAACTCGCCAACGGCATCGGGTTCTGCCAGCCGCTTGACGGCCTCAAAAAACGCCAAAACGCCCAATGAAAGCAACCAAGCTGACTCCAGCAGCGAATCCAGTGTCGAGGATTATCTGGTCAATCCCGCTGATATTGATCTGCGCTCCAGTTTCTTTACGGCCAGCAAAGAAAAATCGCCAGCGCCGCAATTCGATTGCAATGCGGGCATCGCAAATCTCTCCGATTCTGGTTCCGGCTCCGAGGATAACAACGACAGCAGCTTTGAGGATAATAATGCCGGCAAAGCCTTCGATTTTCGTGACCTGCTCGAGAATGCCAATAGCCTGGAGCGTACCCGGGCCGCGCTGCTCACCAAGCGCAATGCCACGGCCACGCCCCCACCGCTGCCCAGCAGCCAGGGCAACGCTGCAGCCATGGATGTCAACGCACTGCTTGCATTGGGCGAGAACCAAAACTACGCTAACGAACCGGACAAACAACGCGAACGTCGACGTTCCTTAGCTGGGACAGCTGCTGGTGGCGCCGGAGCAGCACAGCCGCCGCCGCCGCCATTGGATGCACCGTCGCGTCTCAGCAAAACCAAGTCGACGCGCATTAAGCGGCACACGAAAACGCGTCCTGCGTCCACTGTGCTGGCTGCTGGCGGCGACTCCGATGACTCTGACTTTGAGGAAGTTGCAGGTAGGAAACGCAAGTAGAAAAAACCAAAAAAAAAAAAAAAAACAAGAATATAATGTTGATTGTAGTTGTGGATAAAGCAGTAGCAGGGCTTAATATCAAAAGTTGGTTGTGGTGTCTTGTTTGTTGAACTTAGCTAGCAAAAATTCCAGAGAATCTCGTATCTGATTACAAAATAAATGATAAAAGCTTCCATAATGGCTCCGTATGAGACTGCGTAGTTATTTGTTTAACGAAAATATATACATACATAGCAGAAGCAGAGCAAAAATTATATTACAACTGCTCTCTAGAACTTAACTAACACCCAACTGTATATTACTGTTAAGCCCAGTTCAAATAGTCTGCATAGCCCATAAGAAAACTAAATTTTGAAAAAAAATTATTACTTAGAAACTCTTTAACAATTATTATATGAACTGTGCAAACTATTTGAAACTGGGTCATGTAGTCTCTTAGACTGAAATAATATACAGAGCATAGAAACCACATTAGAAAGCTTTATTTAACACGCTTTAAGCTATACTTTCCAACACTGCAACTGCAAATAACTATGTTGACACGACAAGCTAACTACCCAACACTGGTAAAATTGCTAGTTTCTCAGTTAAAAAACAACATACATACTTCTCAATGTCTTTTGCAAATAGCACTACAAATAAATAATAAAAAAAAAACAAACAAACGAAAATAAGAAAACTAACACAAAATAGCTGTTTGAGTGTTGTTAAACGTTAAAAACTTTTCAAGAAATCTGCGTGTGTGTTGAAATGTTTGCACATTTTAAAGAACTTAAAGTATACACAAATATTATTTGCAAAGCACATGATGAAATCGAAGTTTTATAAAACGTTTGAAACCGAAGCAAATTAGTTTTGAATATTTATTCGGGCTGCATTTTATTTTCATTGTGTTTTATTTGCCAAAGAACAAGACTTAAGAAATTGAACATAAATGTTAAACACACTTTATACACTTACTTTATGGAAATTTCAAGTGTTTCAAAACGCAAAGAAAAAAGAACAATGAAAAACTAATATTAATAAAATTTAAAAACAAAAACAAAAAAAAAACTAGCTAACAAATTAGAACTGATGTTAAACGAATTTACTTTAGCAAAATTGTATTCATTTCACAAAATACAAACGAAATATTTAGTATGTATAGTAAATAAATAAAAAAAGAAAATGCATAATTTAGCGCAATTTAGTGAATGTTAAATGTATTTAATTCAATAATTGAAAATTTAAATGCACATCAAATGAAATAAATAAATGCAAAGCGTTTCAAAATGAAATAAAACTTTAAATCGATAAAAAAAAAAAAAAAACCGACAATTTGTAGCTGCTTTTATTGCCCGTAGACATACTTAAGCAACAGACTGTAACTGAAGAAGCCCCCAACCTGACCGAACCACTTCCCTTTTGCAGACGCTCAGCTGAGCAGCGACGACCAGGAGAAGGATGCTGCCGCCACGCCCAATGTCTCTGGTGATCTGGAGATTCATGTGGGCCTGCCAACGCGCACTCTGACCAAGGAGCAGAAAACCCAGCACGAACTGGAGCTGGCGCTGAAGCGTCGCATGAATCGCGACATCAAGGACCGCCAGCTGTTGATGCACAAGGTCAGCCTGTTGTGCCTCATAGCGCGCAGCCTAAAGTACAATCGGCTGCTAGCGGATAGGAGCCTGATGCAGGCCGCACTGAAGCTGCTGCCCAGCCAGAATGCCTATCCCACGGAAAAGGGCGTTGAGCTCAAGTATCTGCAATCCTTTGTCACCTGGTTCAAAACGGCCATCAAGCTGCTGAGTCAGGATCTGTATGCCGCCAAGGCGACGGCTGGCTCAAAGCGCGCCATTATCGAGGAGCTGCTGGCGCAGATTAAGCGCAAGGAGGCGCGCTGCAAACAGGACATGATCTTCATATTCATTATACTGGCACGCGGCATGGGCATGAATTGTCGCTTGATTGTCAATCTACAGCCCATGGCGCTGCGGCCGCAGGCAAGCGATCTGATACCCATCAAACTGAAGCAGGAGGAGAAGAACAAAAGCGGAACTATTAACAGCGAAGCTGAAGAGGATGAGGAGGAACAATCGGACAGCAAAAGCAGCAAGACGAAAGCTCACAAAAGCAGCTCAAAGACGGCCAGAACAACCGTCAAAGATTCCAGCAGCAAGA